CTTCCGTCTGATGATTCACTCCCCAAGTGAGCACAACGGCCATTGCTGCGCCAATCTGAAGCCAGGAGCCAGGAGCTCCTCCGGCTCTTCCACATGCGTGCAGGATCCCAAGGGTTTGGGCTGTCCTTCACTGCTTTCCCAGGCCACAAGCAGGACGCTGGATGGGAAGTGGAACTGCCGGGATTAGAACTGGCGTCCATATGGGATCTCGGAACGTTCAAGTTGAGGACGTTAGCTGCTAGGCCATCAAGCCAGGTCCAGGCAGGCCATTCTTAATAAGATGCTTTTGGGTCATATTGTGCTCTCCCAGTAAAGTTAGGGCCAAAAATCTTACCATGCTGTCAAAATGAGAATAACAGAATGGATTATTTGTAAGATGAATAATTATTAGAATAAATAAATGAAATATAGTATGGAGCATCTGACACATTGTTAAATCATTTACCTAGCAGAGAAGTAGATTTAGTTCTAAAAGATTGTTGAAATTATTTGAGTCATTCTTTTTCTTTAGAAAATTGAACATTTTGTATTTGACTTCTTACAACCTGAATGAAGTAAAGGGTAGGCTTAGTGTGATTTTTCATCAGGGCTATGAATCCATGATACTATTCATGTCTGAAATTGGTCCCATTGGATCTGGGATTTGATCTTGCTGTCCTTGACAACTATACAGTCACCTTGTTATTGTTCATAATACTGAAAGAAGGCATGTGACTGCTGGGTCGGAAGCAACGAGCTACATTACCCAGAGCACCACAAATACCAACCACATCAGTATGTTGGTACCAGGTCATCCTGCCCCAAGTCCCACAGGGATGCCATAGCATGACCAAGATGGATACCACACTATGAGTAGTTGTCCTGGATCTGGGCCTTCCTCACCAGAGGTCATAAGGGCACAGCACATTGTGCCCCTGGGAAACAGGCAGGAGGCTTGGCAAACTGAGATCCTGCTTTGACCTGTTGGCTGACAGGCAGTCCAGGACATATCTATCCAGTTTTCCTCTGCTGAGAAGGTCCCCACCTTGCAATGGGAAACAAGGGAACCAATTAGAGGCTGCTGAAGGTCAGGTCAGGCTGGCAGATGCTCTGGTCAGGAAAAATTGTATCTAAAACTGACCTATAAGTTGACTGGTGACTATGGGAGTTGGGGCACCAATCAGGTTACTGCTACTAATGTTCTGGGCTTTCTGCTTATCGCTCTGTATAAAAGCTTCACTGTTAGACTCAACACATGGATCGGTTGGCTGACTCCTGGTTGTCTCTTTTCTCCAGTGCTCTTTGTGGGGCTTTTGTCGCCTCACCTTAGGATCTTCCGAAAGGATCTATCCCTCTGTGATACCAACATGTGGGTAGTTTGCATCACAGCTAAGGAACATGAAACTCAGAATTCCGTTGCTTTTACAATGACCAGTTAGTAAATCTACTCTTGTTCCCACTTGAGCTGTTACTTTATCACTTGCTATAAATACAACCCTGAGATACAGCTCAGAGAAAGAGGCATTGGAAACTTTGCATTCTAGCACAGGCAGAAAGACATTGGAGCACCAGACTCATCAAGATCTGTTTGTCTAAACACACTTTGTGGTGGTTTTGTTCTCACACTGACTTTCCTTTCTGTGGGGAGATGGCTAGCTATCCAGAAAATCTTGAACTTCCCTGTAATCAAATCACATATAAAATTAATCACTGGAGTCAAGGATGTTTCCTGGTTATAGGCAAAGTGTATTCCTTCCTGACCAATATCTTTGGTTAACGATCACTCTGATGGCCTTAGGTCAACCAATTCCTCCAAACTGGGGTAGCAGGGAGGACAAATCAAACCCTTGGAAAAAGGCAGCCTATTGGAGAGGTAATCACCATGCGTTCATAGGACTCCTGATTAAATGTAAGGATTTTGGTCTGTTTCAGATTTTTTCAGATGAAATAAAGAAAAAGAAAATAAAGCAAAACTCCTTGGCTCTCTGCTATAACTTCATTTTGGGAAAGCTCATCTACTCATACTAATTGAGCACTGATTATTTGCCATAAACTACATTAGCCAGGGAAATTAAATTTTGAGTAAGTCAGAAATGGTTCCTCATTTCACAGAGACACAGTTTAGTGCAGAGTTCAGTAAATTTCTAAGATGGAAGGGGGAGTCTGCAGTGATGGCCACGTGAGGAAGAAGCCCCTAGCCTGGGGAGCTGGGAAAGGCTTCCTGCAGAATGGGACCCCTCGTCAGAAGCTCCCAGAAGGGGGTAGGATTAACCAGAAGGTGCATTGGTTGGAGAGGACTAGATGGCTTGGAAGACAACCTAAGCAGATGGCACAAGAAATCAAGTTAGAGAAATTCAAAGTACTTCTGTGTATCTGAATCATGGAATTCAAGGTGAGGAACAGCGAGCTATGAGGTAGGAGGAGTGGGAAGTGTGAGGCAGAAAGTGTTATCTTCCCACAGGAGTTTGGCTTTATTTTGGGAGCTCTTGAACATTTTAAACAGGAAAAACATGATCACTGCTGCAGTTCGGAAATTTTGTTCTGCCTGTGGAGTGAAAATTGAATTGAGAGTGGGAAGCAAGCCTGCAGCAGATCCATTAAGAGCTCGTCAAAGTCCAGGTGAAACATACAGGCATTTCCAGCATTGGAAACAGAGTACAGGATCACACCGCCAATATATGTGAAAGTTGATCCATAGCCTTTAATGGATCATGGGAGGCATGGTCCTAAATGATCCTAAAACCTGGAGGCAGAAAACAATGCTAAAGAATAGATACACACGTGCGCAGACACAAGTTCAAATCCTGGCACTGCTGCATAGTAGGAGTTGGGAACATCTAGCTTGTGAAATCATTTGATGAGGTCCTGCCAAGGCAACTGCACATAGGACTCGAAGCCCAGTAAATCCGTAACTAGCTAATTTTTAAGTTGATCATTGTGTATGGTTATAAATGAGGTTATAATCATTCAAGTGGTCCTTGGCAGAAAGAAGGTTTCCTTTTCTGAGAGAAGATCTAGGGCTTAAATGTCAGTTAAAGAAAAAGGTACAGATAATTATCAGTACAAGAAAGGCAGAGATAAACTACTTTGAGAAGAAGTAACATATTGTAGGGTAAGATCCTGGAAAAACAGTGAATCTTTAATAAACTATACCAAGTTTGACTCCCCAGTTCTATTCAGGAGGCACTGCTTGGATGGGATAAAATATTCATTGGATATAGCAGTTAAGAATGTACTAGATGTAAATAATAACTCAGAGCTTACAGCAGCTTAAACAAATATTACTATTTTTGCTTGTAGAATGAGAGAATTAGAGGTGCAGAGCTGATGGTATTGACTCCTTCAAGAGAGGTGTCTCTGTAGGTAACTTAGGGTTTGCCTCAGGACCATGGGTGTCCAGTTCCAGCCTTGAGTGGCTCCATTTCGGTGGGAGGGAAATCGGAGCTGGAACAAACTAGGCCTATAGGAAAGGGCAAGAGACAGTTCAATGTCCTGGAGATGGGGAATATTGAAGAGAATCAGGGTTTGTGGGGGAAAACTAATTAGCTCAGTTTTAACATTTTGAATTTCAGGTTGTTTCTAGGGTAAATTCACATGTCCAGATGGGTTTAAGAGACAACCGGGTATATTGATCTAGAGCTAAGCAAAAACACATGAGACTGAGAAAGGGCAGATGGGTTCTGCAGGATACATCAGAACCCGTCCCCTGCAACAAAGTGAAAAAGAAGACCAGATCAAGGCCATTATTGATCCCCCTGTTTAATGGACAATAGAGGCATAGCACCTGCCAAAGAAGGGAGACAAGGATGGCTAGAGAGGCCCCAAGCTTCTTGGGTCATCCAGTCCAAGGAAGCAAACAATTAAGGGAGGACACGGTGTCAAGTATCACATACTATGCAGGAACAAGGAGGTTGCACCTGACCTTGCTACAGCTTTCCTGCAGTGGGGACAGAAGCTGGACCCAAGTGGACTGAGGAGCGGACAAAACCAGGAAAGTGGAGGAAAACTGTGAAAAGTCCTTTTTAAATTCAGGATTATCTTTAATGATGTGAATTGTAACTGTGTGTGTCTGTCTGTGTTTGTGTGTATAAAGTTGGCTCAGGTGTTTGGGAGAGGTTTTGGCTCCCATGAACTTCCAAGGGTCTCTTTTGGAGGCCGCACTTGTTGCGTTTGTTGTGATCTCTTCCTCCAGCCGGAAGGAAGAAAATGAAACACTTACTTAAATACCTCAAACCCCCGGCAGCAAGACACGGTTGTTGAGAACGTAGTTTCCAGGAGGAAATTGTCAAGACTTTCTTTTGTAATCACATCACTGCTCAGAAGAGCACTTTTTCAGGGTAGGAGGTTTCTAAAAAAAGAAATATTTAAATTTCTTCTGTTTCCTCTTTTGGGACAATTAATTCTACAGGCTGCAGACATAAAAACCATAACCTAACCCACTGGCCTTTTTCATTTATATTTGTGGTTTCATTGATATATGTGGTAATTCTCAAAGTACGAGTTTGGGCACATCAGATCTTTCGGCTGAGTTCTTAGGGTTTGGTGGTTCGGGATGTCACTTTCAGCATGCAGTTGAAAACCTTCCTGCGTCCTCCACTATTCACAGAGTTACTTAAAGTCCGACTTTTGATCTTTTTTTTTTTTTAATGCTGGAATTTAATCCGTCAGGATAAGAAAAGTCCGTCCCGGCGCTCCCATCGGCCTCAACGGGGACGCTGCCGTGTGCAGTCGGCTTTTTCTTTCCCCGAACCGAAGGTGGGCTGAGCAAAGAAGCGTGACGCAAGAGGGGGCTGTGTCCCGGCGGCCAGCGAGCGCCTCTGCTCGGAGCTCACTGAGCCCAGTAGCGCCGCAAATTCGCAGCGGCGGCCGGCGCAGCGGCGGGGCGGCAGCGGGGAGGCTCTGTGCGCCCCACTCCTGAGTCCTCTCCGGGCGCCCCGCGCTGAGTGCGCATCCCTGACCGCACCCGAGCTCCGCCTGGCTTTTTCCAGCTCTGCATGCTGCCTAGCTAAAGCGAAGACAACATGGGCACGGGCGATTTTATCTGCATTTCCATGACTGGAGGGGCGCCCTGGGGATTCCGGCTGCAAGGTGGCAAGGAGCACCAGCAGCCTTTACAAGTGGCAAAGGTAGGCGCGCACGCTTGCACGAGGTGTTCCGTTGCTCTGTACTGGCCGGGAGGGCAGAGAAGCGAAGTGCCTGAACCGTTTAGGTTCAAGTTCTGGTGCGCCGGTCTATGGCTTTAGTGGTGGTGCTGGCATTGGCTTTTGTTGTTGTTTTTTAAGGAAGTGGACTGTTGGTGTTTTAAAAAGAAACTTTGAAGAGTAATTGGTGGCATTTATTATAATTTGCAGTTGATAAGTGAGGGGTGGGGAAGAGCGTGCCAAGTGTATTTATCAGCCGAAGAAAAGGCCTAGCCTACCATCTGACAAGCAGCTAGCCTCTGGGGACCTTCTTCGGGCAGAGCTGGCACATTCCCTTAGTTACTGTTTCATGATGATTTACTTGCCTCTAGGGTAGCAGAAATGCCCTGACTAGGGCATAACCACTCAGCTTGGATATCTGGAAGACTTTTTATAAAATTTTGGTGATGACACTTACTATGCAGCATTCATGAAAAGGCCAATTTTGGGCAATAACTTTCAAAGTATGGTGAAATGTCATAAAATCTATTTTTAAAAAGATCCTTTTAAGGATTTAGTAGAGATTAATACTGAAATCCGTGTACTGTATTCAGCCCTAGGTAAGTGCCTGATTAAGAGCTAGACATGAAAATCAAAGATACTTTTAAAATTCTGTTAACTAAGAGGTAGCTTTATAATGCCTCTAGTAACTGGAGTGTTTCTGTTGCTATTGGATCGCTTGTTTCTTAGCTGCAGGCACCACCAGTTTGTGCCAGGGGATCTGCTATTGTCTCGTTAACATTCAGCTAAAATAAATCTTAAAATACGTGAAGCCAAGCAAACTTAGCTTGATTGTAATAAACTAAGATATTTTATGGAAGAACATGGGAGCCTTTCTTTTCTTATACTTGCATTAAAAATGGACCTAGATCTTTATAAAGGAGAGGCCATGACCTCTCCTCTTGGCTTTTCATTTTTTTTTGAAAAAATTTTATTTGAAAGGCGGTGTTACAGAGAGAAGAGAGAAGGAAAGGCAGAACAGGGAGATCGAGAGATTTTCCATCTGTTACATCACTCCCCAAATGGCCGCAACCGCAGGAGCTGAGCTGATCTTGGAAGATCACGGCCCCCACGGACTTGGGTCATCCTTTGCTGCTTTCCCAGATCATAAACCAGAGCATGGATAGGAAGTGGAGCAGTCAGGACATGAACTGGGACTTGTATGGGATGCTGGCACTAGCAGGTGGAGGATTAGCCTTTTGAGCCATGGTGCCGCCCCCTCTACATTTCTTTCTTCTTCTTTTTAAAATGTTTGATGTGTAGAGGGGAATTTTTGTTCAATCCTCTGCTCGCAGACATCCATTGGAAAATGCTTTTTCAATGTGGTGGTGGAATCCTGCCACCTAGCGAGCATTGCGAACATCAAGCATGCAGCAGGGGGTGAAAAGCAAGACTTTTGGAGCTGGGAGGTCCCTCAGCCATCTTCAGTTTAATCTATGTCATTTAGGTATCCGAAGAGGATAAGGGTCTGGCCTGGAGCCTTCTGCTTGTAGCTGACAAAGTGACCAAATATCTAAAGGCTGGTTCCATTTGATTTCTTTAGAAGTCAATAGATGGCAAGCAGCATCCATTCACACCCAGTTTAGTAAATCTAATTCACGAGGCTGAAGCCCATTTGTTGAGTCTAGAATAGTAGTTGATTGGCTCTAGTTACTGAGATTCGGGTTCCAATTCCAGCTCTGATCTAACTTTGCACACTGGCCTGAGACTCACTCCTGTAGTCGCTGGCTTATCCATCTCTCTCTCTCTCTCTCTCTCTCTCTCTCTTTCTTTCTTTCATGTGCGCTGGTGTAGAATGAAAAGGCAAAAATTTTGAGTGCAATGCGAAAGCAGAGAAGTGGAGAAGAAATTACAAAATAGGATCTATAAAGTGCTGTCTTGCTTGAGTATTCTAACATCCTAACCCACATTCACTTGGAATTATTTGCCTCCCAATTGAAATGGGCCAGCACTGGCTGCAAGCTTTCTTTCTGGTGGATCTTTGGTAGTGGGATCTGAAGAACTGGGTGAGCACTGGTTCCTCCATGTTAATGCCATAGTGTCACCACATGGTGGTGATTCTTCCAGGAGCAGAGGCAATTTTCTGGGGCCAAGGGGTGGGGCTGTGGAGACATTTGCCTAGTGGTGATATCTCTGATACCAGCATCCAGAGAGACTGTTGGGCTATGGGAGCGACAAATAATCCAGTCCCTGCACTTTCCCCAAATAGCCAGGCAATATATTTGTGGCTGCAAAAGATCATTGCTAAAGGCTCTGCAAGTTTGTCTTCATTATCTAGTGTTACTGTGGAGTTAGGGGTTTTAAAATGTTAGAATGAAAAATCAAGTAAAATCAATGTCAGAATGAACCTGAATGTTTACCTTTGAGAGAGAGAGAGAGAGAAAGAGAGAGAGGTGTTAGAGTATATTATTTTTTCCCATATGTCAAAGATAATAAAAAACTTTAGAGAAGATCCAAAGTTGCAGTTACTATGATGAAACCTAGTTTTGTTGGTATTGCTTTTTCTTAAGTTCAGATTTGTTATACCCTTTTAATAGTAGTATTGTTTCTTCTAGAAAGCCCTTGAACTAAGTGCTTGTCACTTGTTATAAATCAATAGTCATGGCTTTGGTAGGATCCTTGTTTTTGTTTGTTTTGTTTAAAGTACCAAGTTTGTTAAATTCCTATGCTCTCTCACTTAGTTTGAGATGAGGTGAATGTTACTTAGGTATAGAGTTTCTAATCTATCAAGGCCTGGCCCCCTCCGAGTGTGGCGATACAAAGACAGAGGGAGAAGGCTAAATGGAAGGATTCTTGCTGGCAAATAAAATATTTATGGTTAAAATCTGGTAACTGATGAAAAATATTTACAAAGAAAGTATAATTTCAGCTAATGCTTGAAAAATGTCCCTTTCTATAGACACAAATTGTTGTACAATATTAAAGGTTTACATTTTCCCATATTTCTGTTCAAAATAAAAACGTAGCAGGTTGAAACAGCACAAGAAAAGCTAGTCTTCTGCTATTAAGTAGATTTCCAACAACTACCCTTCTGGTAACATGTTTCACATCTCTTTTAGGAGATATCCAAAATCTTGGCATTTGGCTGGTTGGCTGAACTGCATGCAAACCACACATTTTAATGGGAATATTGAGAATTGAAACTTTTCATTGACAATTAAAGGTCCATGCCATCATATTCTGTTTTCAAAATAAAATGAATTCTTATTATATGTGTGCCAGCAAACAATAAAATGAATTGTTAAAGGGCCCAAATGATCAGTAACTTAAGTCTGGTTTTGAATGTTTATGTATCTTTTAATTTATGTTGTAAATATATGTGATTTATATTCATAAATTATATAACATTATATTTATAATGTTGAGTGATATGATAGTGCTACTCGGCAAAGTCTTTTCAAAACACCATCCCCAGAAAGAAACTCAGCGAGACTTAAAACCCCATTTGAGTGTGCACAGGTATCTTCATGGAAAGGATGCTGGCACTCTTCCTTCACACAAGTCTCTCTTTGGAAAATTTGTACGTACATGGCTGTGCCATATTCTTGGCAGGTCACTTTGGAAAATCTTCATAAAAAGAAACGGAGGGAAACTTTGGTTTTGTAAGCAAATCTGACACAGTACTCAAAAATATCTCACGTTTTGAAAATAATGGACAAAAATGTGTTCATACTTTTTCCTTTACAAGCTTTTATATAGTGCAGAGTTTAATTTTTTTCAACCTTTTAAATTCCTGTGGAATTTGTTTTATCGAATTTCGATTACATTTTCAAGTAATTATTGACTAAAATTGAGACAACAAATTATAGTCATTCATATTGTGAGGCAGAAATGGATTTAACGATCTTTCTGATAATTGTATATGAGCTCCTTAAAAACTTGTATCCACATAGACCAGACCTATTTTGAATAATATAATTTTAATCTCTTAGTGCCATTGGTAAGCTTTCTAAAGTATTTCCAATAGAATAATTTCATAAATATAGCTATTTTTCAGGAGAAAGTAGGAACTTAATGTGTTCGAATGTTTATACTGAGAATAAGTATCTTTTCTATTAGGGAAAAACCAGTAATATGTTTATTAGATTATATACCTATTACTGAAATGTTTAATTTTGTTTTGCATCTTTTCCAGAAATCGTAGAGACAGGGTTGTTTACAAAAGTCAATGGGAACGAAGTAAATCTATTAAGTTGGTGTTACTTTTGAATTGCATGTTTTAACATCTTATGTTCCATTGTGCTATATAAGATACCTATAAAGACTAAAATTAAGCAATTGTGTACCACTTATGATAACTCTGAAACAAATATTATGTCATTTTACAGAATTAAAAACTTGGAACTTAATGGATAAGATGGATCACTGTTGAAAGATGACACTAAGATAAAATATTGGCTATACAAGAGCTTTGGTTTGATATTAGAGCAGCATATATGTAGCTCACATGTGTCAAGTCCTGGCTACGTGGCAGGAAGTATGCCAAGTGCTTTGTAGGTCTTATTTCTTCAAAGGTTCCTCCAAAACCTGAGATATGAAAAATGTTCTCATTTTAGAGGCGCGGAAGTTGAGGCACAGGCAGGCTGTCACTGACAAAGGTTAAGCTATTTTTTTTTAAATGATGTAATTTGATTTTTCTGCTTCTTCCTTGGTGGAAACAAATGTCCAAAGTAACACAGGTAAGTTAATGTGATTCCAAATGAACAGTTTATATATTTAAATGATCATGGCTTATGTCCTTGATTTTTAAAACTTATCTACCTATTTATTTATTTTGAAAAGGCAAAAGAGAAAAAGAGAGAGACAGAGATCTTTTATCTGATGGTTTATTTCCCAGATGGCCATACTAGCCAGCCCTGGAGCCAGGAACCAGGAGCCAAAAGCTTCATCTGGGTCTCCCACATGAATGAGACAAGCCCAAACACTTGAATCTTTTCCTGCTTTTC